AAAAAAAAAAAAAAGAAGAAAAAATCATGACTAAAGTCTCAAGGAATGCCGGTAATGGAGATAGAGCACACTGGGTGGCCTCGTTACCCTTGTAAAACCGTCGCCACGAAGGCCAAGAAAAAGATACAACCCCGTTTCAAATCCAGCTCCTCTGAGAGGCCAATCGACACCTCCGCAACTACGTCCAACGCCGCCGCCGCCGCCGCCGCTGAGTTGAAGAGTCCGACGACAGTATCTATTTCCTCCTCGTCGGAATCAGACAGCGGTATGAAGTCATCGAGTTCGCCATCGGACGGTGGATCTGGTCCGACCGGGCATGGTAATGAGTCGGGCGGCAAGGGCTCGAGTCGGAGAGAGCATTTGGCGGCAAATCTGACGGACAGGGACGTGCTGGATTGCCCTATATGCTGCCAACCCCTTTGCTCCCCCGTGTATCAGGTGCCTTCTTCTTTTTTTGTTGGGTTAATTGTAATTCAAAATTGTTGCAATTAGAAGAAAAATAAGAAACATACAAGCAACTCTACTGAGTTGGGATAATTTTTAGTTACAAACTGTTGAAATTATGATTTGCAATTATAATTTTAGTTACATTAATGGCGTGAGATAATGATTAGTTAACATTACCTGTTGAAAGTGGCTATCAGTGTTGAAGTAGCCGGAGTTTTGTAGCTATGTAAGAATAAATGAAGTTGGAAGAAATGTAGTTGCTTTATTGGCCTTTTGCCGTGTGTTTATTCTGTGTCATTTGAAACGGGGGAGAACATACAATTTAGGAGTGTATTTCTTCCGACCTGCGATTTTCATAACTCATAGCGAATAGCTTCCCGAGCCAACTTCAAACCGACACTTTTTAAATTTAACATCATCTTATAATCCCTCAACATAGTAAGCGTTTCATTAACACGTTTAATCTGATCAAAGGCTTACGGCTTACAAGGATTTTATAAGCATACCATCAATATACACTTCCATTTTTTTATGAGTCTATCAAACATTTATTGGTGTGTAGCAAATAGCTACTAACTATTCGTAAGTGGCCCCAATGTTGTTCCGCTTGACTGGTTTCACAGTGTAGCAATAGAGGCGTAGAGCTGAATAGAAAAATGTGTGCTCCTCGTCGTCCGGGTGCTTGTGGATTTTTGTTTTGTTAGCCTGAGATAAGACTTCATGAAGCTCATCAGTTGTTGCCTGAAAATCGCATCCAGCATATGGTCGGTGTGCGGAAAGGTGATTGCTATCTTTTAGGCATGCTTTGTTCAAATTCGAGAAATCAATGCAGAGTCCGCTTGCCTTCTTCATGAGGACTACTTTCCTTGAGTGGCATATTGGTCAACAGTCAAAAGGCTCCAAAACAGATGCTTTTCCTTTTCTTTTTCCATTTATTTTAAGTTTGTTTGTTCATTTTTTATTGGTTTTCATTTTCCATCTTACATTATTCCAGGGCATATATATAATATTATATCCTTGTGAGAATATACTAATTGCATTAAAATTTTAGATGTTGCAAATTGACTGCTTTTTATTTTATTTATTTGACGTTTATTTTGTTTTTTGAGGAATTTGGTTTTGTTTTTGGCATTAAAACTTAAACAAATATTATCACTATCTATATTATTATTTTTTACACTTGGGTGGCTTGTGTTGCCGAGGCCCCGCTTCTCACCTCGTGGCCATGCCACTAGCACATCGTCTTGACATTCACCATTTAAAACTAGGGTTGAGCGATCATAGGCTCGGCTCAGGTTGACTCCAGGCATATCCTTGTGACTCCAAGCCATTCACCATTTAAAACTAGGGTTGAGCCGATCGGGTCGACTCCAGGCATATCCTTGTGACTCCAAGCAAAGATAACTTTGTTTGTCACAAGGAACTCCATGAGCTCTGTTTGAATGGGCTTCTGCTAAGCATGACCAAATCCAGATTTGCTTCTCTGGTGCTCCTAATTTACTTGAGTCAATTCAAGCAACTCCACAGTCTTTGGCATGTTGAACAATTTTCTTCAGACTTTGCCTCGGCAAGACCTCTTTGCTCGCTCCAGTCCACATGGATTTTTTCCCGGGGTGACGGCCTGCCCAGCCCTCCAACTTCACCTGCTTTTGTGGCCTAGCTATTGGCTCTTTCTTGGGGTGCCTCCCTGACTCTTCAACCTTATTCGACCCGAGATACTCCTTTTCTATTAAAGTCTTGATTTGATCAATGCAGTGTCCTATATAATGCAATTCCACACCAAACCTACAAATGTGGGCAAGTATATGCAATTTGCATAAGCCTGCTCATTTGTATTGTCTGCGAGACAGGCCCAGGATAGGCACCTTCATGATTAAGGCTTCATTGTGTGGGTGAATTCATTTTTTATAATATAATTTCCACAGTGATCTCTTTAAAAAGAAAAGTTAGCATAATAGAAACTCTTCCAATTACACCCTAACTAGTACTATTTATTTTAAAGGGTTAAGTACAATTACATTGGAACTCCAATGTCTCATCTGAGAAAACAGATCAGCTCATACATAATTATCTTTTCGTTTGTTGTTATGTGTATAAATGGGCTGGTGCACCTGTTTGAATCTAATATGAACTTTTTTAGTTAATGAAAAAAAATATAATAATTCCTATCGTGTATTCTTGATCCCATTTATATCTGAAATATCTTACTCTATTGAACTCTTTTTTTGCTTGTACCAACGGGCATATAACATGCGCCGCATGCTGCAAAAAAACTAACAACAAATGCTCAACCTGCCGCCGTGTGACTGGAGTCATCCGTTGCAGGGGTCTCGAGAAGGTTCTAGAATCTCTCATCTTCCCGTGCAAAAACTCGTCCTCTGGCTGCACGGAATCGTTAAGCCACACCGAGCGACTCTCTCACGAGGAGACGTGCGAGTTCACTCCTTTCCCGTGCCCTTTCCCAGGCTGCAAATTCTCAGACAAGTACAAGCACGTCTACAAGCATTTCACTCTGGAGCACTCGTGTCTGTCCCAAACGTTCTCTTTCGGCACCTCCATCTCATTTGTGGGTAATTATGAGGACAAATTCTTTCTTCAGGAAAAGATCCGCAAAACACTTTTCGTGTGCACCCGTGCTGTGAGTTCCCATGGGGTTGAGGTAGATGTGTTCTGTGTGGGGCCCGCGTCAATTGAGGGAGCCCCGTTTTCGTGCGACCTCACGGCGAGGGTTGGTGTGGGCACGTCGTTGAATATGAAGACGAGTGTAGAGTGCAAGCAGGAGAGGACGGACGAGGACCGCTCGGGAAAGTACCTTTTCGTTCCTAGGGACCTGATGAAAGGAGTGGTCCCCCTCGAGTTGGAACTTGTTCTCAACGAGAGTACTGCTTGAAGTTGGTTATATTTTATTTATTTATTTATTTTTTCTCTTGGACAATGTGTAGTAGGCTAGTAGCCTGTGATTGA